AATCGGAAAGAATCGAAATTAAACGGATGAAAATCGCAATTAGCAACAAATATGTGAATGAGTTAGATCCATACTCGGTCATATTAAAAGCGGAAAGAATTATCACAAAAAGCAGCACACTTCAATCAAACTCGCATATCTGATTCCTTCATTACTAACACAATGGTTCGTTCGAACAATTCAGCTCAAAAATTAAGGGAAAATCCGACTGAAAATTGTCTACTTATTAATAACTTTACGCAAAAGGAACGCATTGTCGCAAAGCACAAAAAAAACATATATTCCATTATATCTGAACAATGTTTCTTGTTATTCAACAAGCATTAAGCAATAACTTAAAAATCGATTCGTAAAATTCAAGAAGGCTCAATAATCCCAAATCAAGAAAATTTGCCTACATGTAAGCGCATGATCATCCACGAATGACTTGCTAATAAGAAAGGATTAGTAGGACAAGAAGAAAATCACCTTTTGAAAAAAGTTATAATTGGTTGATTTAAGTTGTAACCATCAAAACAATCGAATCATTCATAAACTTCCTCTGTCCAAAACACAAAATTCATGTCTCTCAGTTTTATCAAATCAACTAAAACGCTTTCTCGGTTGATCAGCCAAAAAATGAAGGAATTGAAAAGCACTACAATCCAAAAACAAACAAATCAAACAATTGATCACGAAAAAAGCTTCAGCAAAAATAGAAACAACGAATGGGATCAAGCAAAATACATTCTTCATTCAGTTAGCGGCTTGGTTTACGAAAATCAGATATCATAAGATAAACTGAAATCGCAATGAGTGTAATAATATTTCTGGACATGATCAATCCATTACTGTACATTCATAATCGAGCATTTCATCACTCACCTCTTCGGTTTGTTACCGAACAATCCAATTACTACTGCAAATATGCATTACCTAACTGAATTCTTTCAAAAACGAAGCAAAGAATTCATTTACATAAACTCGTAAAACTTAATTTCTATCGACAAATCATTCGCTTACACGAACTGGTCGTAAAACGATCTGTTGATTAAGTTTCACGGTAGTATAATCCTGCTCTTTCATTAACAAGACNAAAAAAATTGCTACCATATACGAATGATATTTTTAAGGTTTGATTTATGCAATCAAATCACACCAACCAACAATTAAACAAAAGTTCATTGAAATCTGCTTGGAGAATGGCACATGAGAAACACAAATAACACATTTTTTTTCTCAGAACAAATGGGTGACACGATAAACTTGAATACAACGCTTTCAACAACGAACCATGTGTTCATTACTACTAAAAGTTAGAAGGAAATCGAAATGTGTTTGCAATAAACAACGATAAAAAGAAGATGGACGGCAACTGGCAAGATGCAAATGGTGAAGCAAAGGGCGGATAAAGCAAAGCGCTTAAAATGACGAACGTTTCAGAAACAAACTAACATTTGAAGGAGTCGTAGGTGTGCATGTGGTGAACGCATCACAAACTAACAACCGAACGTTCTCACCGGAACGTCTCAACACCCGAGCTGCTTCATCCTGCGAACAACCCAACAGCGATTCATCGTTCACCTCCAATATTCTCACTCCTGCAGCCAACGACGATCCAGATGCAGCACCATTGCGTTCAACCTCAATCAACAAATATAGGTGTCGTTTCAAATTCGAACACAATTCTGACATATCCGAAGAGAATGTCTCAACTCGAATACGAAAACAAATGGGTCGTAGCAATGAATTTACGTTACCCAGTTGTAAGCTGTCATTGTCCCGAACGAAACAGTAACATAAGAATTCAAAAACTTCAATAAACTCTTTACTTGATCAATAAGCGTGTGATCAACTGAAAGTGAGGGATGAAAATGGATGAAGAGAAAGAATTTGGCAAAATAATTTGAAAAAAAAAATCACTTTTTCAATGAAAATGCCCTCATCGGTCTTATCGAGTGGATTCGCGGGTGGACTGTTGATACCGCCACAAATATTCAGTCCTAATGGTTCACGTGGATGACGTCTTAAAATCACTTCCCTCAAACCTCTCGGTTGAGGTTCATGTGTCACTCGTAAACGTACTATTGGTTCGCTTCGCTTCAATGCCTGCAATTAATGTCAGTCAGTATTGTTCGAAAGTTCGTTAATGACGAAGATAATCTTTAATCATAAATCTTTTAAGTCAGTGGTTCTCAACCTTCGTTCTCGCCCACACCCCTTAAAAAATTTTTGAGATGTTTTCGTAGCCCTCACAACATCCACTCTGCGTCTCTCATTCAGCACAGTGAGTGTGTGTAGTGTACACCATTAGAACACATTCTATCAATGCA